AATAAGTTCCTAAAACTGAAATTGAATAAAAAATATTTATCTATAGATACATTTTTTTTTAACAATAAAATTTTAAAGCAAAAGAAAGTTAGATAAAATAAAATTAGAAATAAACTTAAAAAAATAATGAATTTAAAAAAATCTGCTCAATAGGCAATCGCAACAGTTGGAGCAGTGCGAGCAAATATATAAGTATACATAAAAGTGGTTTCTGTCAAAAGAGCTTTTCGCCATTGAAAGTTGGCTAGGGAACTATTTTGTATGTAATACTTTCGTGCCAGAATAAACAAAATTCTGTAATTTTTGGCATTATTTTCGAACCTATAAAGGAACGATGGTAACGAAGGGCAATAGATCTAAAATGTTACCGCCAAAAATTCAACGGAAAAAAATAAACCAAATGCGCTGAAGTTCCTTAAAAATCGAACTTCTGCACTTCCCAACGGGGCATGCGCTTTGATTTGAATTCACTCACTCATTCACAATTAACCACTTTTATAGGGGAAAACTTTTATTTTGAATTGTATTTTAATTTATTAACTCCTCTGCAGCCACATTTCCACCACACTATTGTCGTATAAATCGTGCGCCGAACATTAAGGCGGCAGAATGAACTTACACTTACAAGTTACACACATCCCACATACGAAATTTACCACTAATTCCTTCATTTGCTTTATCGTTCATATCCTCTTCAAATGTTTGCCAACTGACACATGACCAGTCAAACTTTTCCCATCAACCCAACGCCGCTTGTCTCACAACGAACACACGTTTTTCGCTGCAATGCCCTGCGCTGCCCTGCAGCATTAAATGACAATTTTGAAAACTAAAAAACAAAAAACGAACGAGGAATAAAGCTAACACACAGTCAAGGAAAGCCAACAGAAAAGGTGTGCAATTTGCGGTGTAATTAAAATCAACACTGTGGCTGCTAAAGTGTAGATTTGCGAAGACATACCCCAAGCAGAAAGCAATGGAGAACGGTTGAAATAGATAAGTAGTACTACAGCACTTTTTAGAAGCATGATATATCTGCTAACGTTTGAGCTACTTTTAACAAAAAAAAAAAAAAACTTGTTTGTTAAAATGGCTGAAATGTCAATAAAAGCGTTAGTTGACGCAGAGAGAAGTAGGGTTCAAGAAGGAGAAAAGGAAGGACAGAAAGGTGATGGAAATCTGAAATGCACAACAAAAATCCAAGAAAGGCATCAAGCAAATGATTTTAAGAACGAGATTAGCTCTCCGACACATGTTTCGATTGGCACATTCGGTACGCATGAGTCTGGCTGGACCCACATGCAAATTGTATGAATTTATATAGAAATTATGTGCAACATTTGTTCAGTTAAACTTATTTATTGTAAGTTATTCAAATATTTACTTAATTTAAAGGTTTTCTTTTTTTATTTTATTATTTAAATACACTGGCGATCAAAACCGGGTGCATGTTCGACATTTTATTACTTACAGTAACATAACTTTTTTAATAATAAGCGGATTGCTTTGAAATTTTCAAAAATTTTTCCTTATTATCTAAGATATAAAGCCCAGTAAATAGAAAAATTAACAAGTGATTCACAGCAAAAACGCAAGGCAACTATCTTCACTCAGTTTTGAACTTTTAGGAAGTATATATCAAGAGGATTATGGAGACTCCTTTGCTTTTAATAGCGATTTTCATACGTCCGGGAATGCTCTCTACTGAGTTTTCTATGATTTCGCTTGGAATATTACCCCATTATAATTTTGCTCACCTCCAAAGCTCTTTCATTTTACTGGAGCTCGCTTGTGCTATGCTAATCCTCTCTTGACCACAGCGCTCAATTTTTCGATAGCTTTGAGGTCTGGGATTTATGCTGGCCACCATGTTAGATTTTTTTCTTGGCATGGTGTTTTTGAAGATGTTAATAAGGTCTTTCCCAAAAATATGCCTTCTTATCGCTTTGGAAATAATTAATTTTCGTTCCATCGGACCATATTACCCCTCCTCAGTTAAAAAGCTCGAATTCTCGTGACTTTTACAAAATTTAAGTGGCAGCTTAAAGGCTTGGGATGTTTTGCTTGCTGGCATTTGGTGTCTTGGGTTAATATAAAAGGTATAATGAACATATCCTCCAAACAAATTTCCGGACCATCGAAAAATTGAGCGCTGTGGTCAAAAGAGGATTAGCATAGCACAAGCGAGCTCCGAGTAACATCATTTTAGGTAACAAGTAATTTTTTGCAAAAAAAACCGACTTCAATTCTCATATAAACAAATAGATATATATACTAGTGAACCCGCATGACGTCAAAACGCCAACATTTAATTAAACTTTTTAAACAGGTGAAACCCTATTAAATAACCTCTAAAAATATTCCTAATGATTAATCGAAGCCATTTCTCAGTGGTGCTTTTAAAGTTTACGACATACAACAATACGACACTTACGACACCGTTGTGAATCCCCCAATAATTTCTTGAAACTCTTTCATTTGACATCCATCGCTCATATTTCATATAACTTATACCCAATAGTTCAATTAAATAGGTGGCAACCCTATTCAAAATATTTCCAAACTACTACCTTCTTAAACCTCTTTCCATATAGCGATACCTTATTCACTTACCAAATTCCTTTACATAATTAAAATTGAATACATTTTTTTTTACATGTGGCAACCCTCCTATACGTAGTTAAGTTATAAAGCCTTTTCAAAACCATTTCGATTGCTACCCATATTTAATAATTGATTTAACTTATTAATTAATTTGAGCTTAATTTCTTAACAGGTGGCAACTTTTTACGAAAAAGTAAAACCTTCTTGAACATCCACACCCTAAAGGCTTCGTTATGCATACTTGGCGTTGCTTGAGAGTTGTCACATAAGGAATCTGTTAAATGAGCTTCGCGTGTAAGCGGTTACCCAACGCACAGTATTACATACGTAAAAGTCTGTAGGTTTTTGATTTCTACGTAAAAATGGTATAGCAGTGCATGCAATGCCAAGTATGCATAACAGAGCCTTTAGCCCTTTAATTTGGTACCTCACTTTTGAAAATCAAACGGACGGTGCGGATCTGAGGGCATTGATTAGTAAATAACTTGAGTATAATTATTTAACAGGTGGCAACCCCTTTCGAAAAAATAAAACCAGTTTGCACATCTACAGGCCAAGCGCTTTAATTTGACACCCCGAACGAACGGTGCAGATCTTTTATGCTGCACAAAAAATGCCTTCGCATATTATATACATAGATATATCTCATGATCCACTGATCGGATCTTAACCAAATTAGTATGGGACCACCTCCGAGATACTACCTTTCCGATGCAAAAATAATTATCGGTTGACGGTAGTAAAGTTGACGGTCGGAAAGTTATGCGGTAACATACATATAAAAAAAATAAATATATATATTCCGACGAACTGATAACCTCCTCCTTTTTTGGAAGTAGGTTAAAAATGCAAATCATCTCTTGCCATGATAGTTCAAAAATTCAAAAGAACACTTTGAAAAACGGTTGCATTCTTTCATTTTAGGTAAAAATTACATAGGAATACATGTGGGTCCAGCCAGACCTATGTGTTACGAATGTGATGTATTAATCAACATCTCTATATATCTAGCTTTATATATATGATACCAACACGATTTTTTACAGATTGGTAATTCACTAAACTTTAGTAAGCTACCTGAAATTTCAAGCCTCTAGCTATATTTAAAGTACCCTTTTTTGTAATTTGAAAATGGAAAAGGCCTGGCTGGACTCATGTGTCAGACGAAGGGTTAGTTTCCGCAACGAAAATAATGGAAATCTCGTGACAGTCTAACACTTCTTAACGCGCTTGAAAGGCCACACGAATGGAATATGAGCTGGAAAGTCTGCTGATGGTAGTCCGCATTAACAGCTATAGATTCCTCTAAATTTGCTTTAATAGTTAAGTAATAACATTTTAGCGCTTACACTTTTTCCATGAGTCCTGAATGTATAAAACAAATGGAGAGATCTACAGTTTCACGCCGCCTCCGAACGGCAAATGAATTTAATGAGATGCCTTTCCATGGCAGAAATATACGCGGAGGTTTGCCATGGCCTGGCGAGGGGCGACCGCTGTTAGAAACGACTTTTTCTAATTTAAGTGTTGCCAGACCAGGGCTCGAACCCAGATGCTACGTACTACGCACCGCTAATCACGCAGCCACAGCGGCCGTCGTCGATGTTTTGGCCCCTTTACAAGCCTTTAGGTACTAGGCTAAGTGCATTTGGAATGGTAAATATTCTTTCTTTTTGCTAGTTGCAGACCCCTGATTGGGAAACTCTTGCTCAAAGCAAATACTAGAGATAGACAGACACAAAAGACAAAACTTTCCAAACCATAGATACCACATCCAGTAGGGAGATGCGCCGTTGACTATCTAATAGCTTAGACAGGCGGCGCCGTTAAACGGCTCGTTGCGGCGGTTCCGGAATAAGTTCTACAGCTAATTCATAAAATTAATGGGAATCAGGAGCATTTTCGATGACAACACTGACCAAAACGGCCAACTGTGGTCTATTGTGGACGAAAAACAAAGGAATGAAAATGAAAAGTAAACATCCGTTCAGCATCTAGGGTAGCTCAGTAAGACCCAGTTACGATCTGCCATGGTTTTTCAAATCCATGACCTCGCAGCTCGGTCGCTACAGTTTGCCGGGGTACAATTTCGATTGGATAAGTAGCGCCATTAATGTGCATTAACGTTGCCGTACGTCTATGCTATTAGAAGCTGCTTTAAACTGTAGAATATGTCTAACGCCATTGCCTTCAACTTTAGTGTAAATTTTAAGGTTCGTCGACTTTACGCTCTCGTTGCAAAAGAGGGCAGTGTCTTGGACTCAAATAATATCACAAAGAACCTATTAACTATCCTATGCATATTATTACTCTATTCTATAATTTTAAAAAATTATTTTCTTTCTATTATCTTATATTTATTATTTTAATTGTATTGTTTTTACTAACCTCGCTATTATTGTGATCCACCGCTATAGCCACGTTCGCTGGTATTTTGTCGATTACTCTGTTTACTTTATTGACAAACTATAAAAAAAGATAGATATAAATGCAATTTAGACGTAAGAAATATGAAATGAAGAAATATATAAATATGCTGGCAGCAGAAATAGGCTGACTTCCAAAACGTCAATTGCATTGCATACGTACAAAGTTTAATGTTCCATAACGCCGAACTACAATTGGTTGACAATGTACACTTTTCCAAAACCCTCCGAAAAGTTATCGAAACGCATTGCTAGCGCAATCAGCGCATCAGAAACAAAGTTGATGCTTCGTTTGTTATTGGTTACCATTGGTGTTTTAAAAATGCAAAATTCCGAAATGGTGATTATTGTTTTATTAAATATTCCAAATATGCAATGTATATGGTTGCAATGTTTCGCTACTCTGCATATGCAAAGAGTTTAAATACCGCAGTAGAACAGTATCCAAACATTGTATTGGAACGTTTTGGAAGTCAGCCATAATATCTATTTTGACCAGTTTTGGGTATAAGTATTTCCTTTGTTTATTTTTAATTACTATATATATAATACACGAAGGCATTTTTTGTTCAGGATAAAAGATCTGCACCGTTCGCTCGATTTTCAAAAATGTCAAAATTTAAGCGCTTGGCCTGTAGATGTGCAAGCTGGTTTTATTTTTTAGAGTGTGGCCACCTGTTGAAAAATTTAATTCAAATTATCTAAAAATCAATGCCATCATATTCGCAACGTTCGTTCGATTTGCCAAAATGAGGTTAAAAGGCTTGGACTGTATGTGCAATAAGGTTTTACTTTTTCGATAAGAGTTGCCAGCTTTAAAAACTTATATTCAAATTATTAAAAAAATTAATCAATTATTACAAAATGGTATGAACCGAAATGGTTTTGAAAAGCTTTTGTTTCTTAGCTGAACTATAGGAGGGGGGTTTCCACCTGTTTCAAAAATCATATTAGGTACGAAAAATATGGTGATACATATGGGTACCATACGAAAGGGGTTTCAGGAAGTATTAGTTTGAAAATATTTTGAAGAGGGTTGCCACCTGCTTGAAATGTCGAATTTAGTTTACTTATACACAGATTATATGAAACATTAAAATATGGATGTCATACGAAGGAGTGTTAAGAAATCTTTAGTTTGACCATTTCGAATGTTTGAAGAGGGTTGCTACGAGATTGAAAAGATACATTAGAATTATTCATTTATTTAGGAGGGTTGCCATATGTTCGAACAATCAAATTCAAACTAGTTCTGCAGTTTATTGCATTACATGTGTATCACAAGATTTTAGTTTGGGAATACCTTTGAAAGGGAATTTCAAAAATGAGATTTCAAACTAGAGACATAACCTGTAGATATGTGGTAAAGTTTTTATTTTTTATTTTTAATTAAGAACTTTTTTCATCGGTATAGAGTGATTTGAAATTTTATGAAACTAAAAACATGTACTATGCCAGACTGCTATTCACTGGCACTCGGATCTCTTAAAACTCTGACTAACATTTGGAATATTTTTTAAGTTTTGAAATTAAGTTTTGGGCGTTTAAACGTCATGCGGGTTCACTAGTTTTTTTATAAAAGTATAACTAGTTATACAGCAAACACCATATAAATGCACATTTCAAACTTTGTGCAACAGTTTTAATAATTCAAAAAATGTTCACATAAATTTCAAAATTTTTCTTATGAATTTTGAGAAAAATTTTTGGTATGCAGTTTTATAGGTCTTTAAATTTTGGTATAATAGTATAATAAATAAATTTTGGAGAGACTAGTCTCGCATTTTTTCGATCGAAATTCCTTCCTGAAAGACTGAAAAGGATTGAGCTACGAGCCCTTCTGGGGCTGATTGCGGGGCACAATCTATTTGCGCGAGATATGGTCACTCTATCTACCACATACCACAGAGCATTTTCTCTGCAGCTGTTTCTCATCATGTACGAAAAGTACAACGGTAAATATTGTTTTTTTTTTCGGCCGTACGCAATTCCGTTCTATTCCATTATACATATGTATGTGTATTCCCGAGCATTGACTCAAAAATATCCTAAGAACACAAACACATGTTTCCGAATGGATTACGTTGAAATTTGTTGCTTTATCACGGCAAATTCTTCGAAGACAAACAGTTTTAATTTCCACATTATTCAACACATTTTTTTGCTCATTAAGTATCGATGCGTACCAGTGTTTACCAACCAGTAAATGTGTTTTTAATTGACTGAGCTTTCATCGAAAATCCCGCTCGTTTAATCACATTATCTGGGGTTTCCTACTGATTTGTGACAGGAAATTCGCTATGACTGCATGCAGCTACTTCTCAGGCGCGAAAGGAAATAAATAGAAGTCCCAATAAAATGTAATTTACGCAAGGTTCGTTGTCCTAAGCTCAACTACTCAATTACAATATTCCTAATTGAACTAGTGATTGTTGTGTGTACTTACATACACAGGTATTTACCATAGGTTTGTGAGAAAGATAATCATGTACACATTAGCTAATTACCAAATGAAATTTAGTTACACAAGCGACAAATTAGAGCAGATAGCACAATAATTTTATAAGCAGTATATTTGCTTAAGTATACCAATAGTTTGTAGTGACATAATCAATAATCACAAATCACACGAATTAGTTTGAGTTGTGCTGAAACTTAAGCGATTTATGAAAATTCGAACTTAATTCGAACACAGCTGATTGAAAGATGAGTTGAGCACGGCAAAATGCAAAATAAATGAAAAATGTGTGTTGCATCAATTTCAACGTGATTTTGGAGTCTTTATAATTGCAAAACAAAGAAAAGGTTAGGCGAAGAGTTCTCAGAGGCCATTCCAAACGTCCCCGAATAAATGTATGTGTATAAAATAGTATACGTAATAATAATAATAGTTTGGCGCTTACACATATGTTAGTGTTTGGCCGAGCTTCTCCTCCGACTTGTGGCGTGCGCCTTGATGTTGTCACACAAAGCGGAGGGACCTACAGTTTTACGCCGACTCCGAACGGCGATTGTATTTTAATGAGAAGCTGTTTTTCATGGCAGAAATACACTCGGAGGTTTGCCATTGCCTGCCGAGGGACGACCGCTGTTAAGAAAAAACCGTTTTCTATATTTTTTGGGATGTTGCTTTGACCTGGGCTTGAACCCAGGTGCTGATGTGTGAAAGCGCGCACTGCTTACCACTACACCACAGCGGTCGACAAAAATAGTATACGTACCCGGCAAAAAATGGGACTAGGTTAAATACTAGTACTAGCATGTATGTACATATGTATATGCAGATCAAACTATGGGTGCGGTTTAGTTATTTGTCCATTGATTTGGGATTGTTGTGTCCAAACCAGGGACCGAGCATAACAGTTATTGCTGAAAACTCTCATGGAAAAATTCACTATGTAGGATGAATGTTCTACAACTAAGTGATAAATACCAATCGATTTCTTTTTTCACCGAGACTAAAATTTGAAAATAAGTTTTTATTTGCAATTTTTATGATAAATTAAAAAAAAAACAATTATTTTTTATTTTTATATTATATATCTTAGATAACACTTATTGAAGACTTTTATTTATAAAAGTCACCAATAAAAATCAGTCAGTGACTTTTACTTTTAAAAGTCATCAATATAAATCAGTTATATAAATAATATAAATAAAAGTCTTCGATAACTGTTATCTAAGACAAATAATTTAAAAATCAAAAATAACTGTTAGTTGCAGATTATTTAGATAAAAATCAAAAAAAAATGTTATTTTGGATTTATAAAATAAAAGTCAGAGATAGTGGTTATTTAAGGAGTACTTAAATAAAAGTCTAAAAGTAATTGTAAAAGAGCGATTTGCTTAATAAAACTTGTAACTGTTACGGTCCCTGGTCCAAACGCGTGACCCGAACCTAAACGTTTTAGCATACACGTGTAGTCAAAGAAATAAACTTTCCGCCCCCTATTCTCATCAGGCAAGATAGAAAGGAGAATTTTACTTAGTAAGTGTTATAATCTCTAACCCACGCAGAAGGAAGTTCTGCGGAAAAATACTCTAGTCTGCGTAGCCGGACTTGGATTGATGAGGGTTACTATTCCTAAACGCGGCCTAAAGCCACCAAAGTGTAAGGTTTCCTATGCAAAAATACTGTGGATGGCATAACCTCATAAAAGCAAGAAAAATTGCTTCTTGCGCTTCACTTTTGTGTTTTTATCCCTAAGATAATATTTTTTTTTTCTTTATGAATTGAACCAACAAAAGAAAACAATACTTACATTTTATGATTTTCTTTTAACTTTACACAATTTCACCAGGTACAGAAACTTACGGCGTTTTCGTTTTTACAAAAAAAAAAAAATTTGCCTTCTCATTGCCCTCTTTCTAGTATTTGTGCGTACCAGGTAGAGCGGAGGTAACCTTTTTCGGTAGAAACGAAAACGGCATAAGTTATTATTTGCGCAACGTTATCGAAAAAAATCAATATCGCTGCCAGTGATTACCGTTATTATTATGTACATGATTTTATAAATATTTATGGATTTTAAGAAAATATTTGCCAATATATTAATGATATTTATATCAATCGTGATATTACTCGCTAAAGTAATCGATATTTTATCGATAAATAGTTACGTTTTTATATCGATATATTGAGCCATGTTAAAATTGATAAACATATGTATTTATCGATATTTCTATTGGCACATTTATCAATTATTAAACAACTAGTGAACCCGCATGGCGTTAAGATGCTAAAATTGAATTTCACTTAAACAGGTGGCAACTCCATTCAAAAACCTTAATAAATATTCCAAGGGTTTCATTTAAATCCGTCCAGAGGTCTCGAAAGGTGTCGGTTTTTTTAATTCCTCAAAATTCAAGTCACCCTGTACCGCTAAAAAAAGTCATAACTTCAAAAAATAAAACCTTGTGGCATATGTATCTATAGGCCTTGTTCTTTAATTTCACATCTCTTGTTTAAAATTCAAAATAACGGTGCAGATCTGATGACGTTCAAAAAAAAAAATTGGTTATTCTTAAAAATTTCAAAAA